GAAAGTAGGTATTTCCGGAACCTCTGATCCTAATCTATTTGAGGTGTCTCGCTACTTCAAGAGATGAAGAGCAACATCTTCAAACACATCGTGAGCTGGCGGGCCGACGGCCAGTCTACATTCATCGTCGCCTTTCTACTTCCTGTTTCTGCCTACTTGCCCCGACCAACGTGCGCCGTACAATTATTACTGTCTCGCCTAGGTTGGGTAAACGGATGTCACCATCAGTTCTGCCCCTCATTTCGCTGCCGGCTAGGACGGCGAGGTATGCCCGCGCCTCTTCCTGCACGCCTGCTTCCTCAGGTGCGTGATGCCTCCGTCGGAGGACCTGCGCTGGCACCGCTGGCCGAGGGGAGGAGCCAGAGGAGGTCCATGGAGGAGGTGGCGGTTGCGAGCGTGTGAATTTGTCTCCTGTCCCTGTGGCTGTCAAGAAAGTGCAAACATTGATTGAGTCGTGTGGATTAGCGACTGATCCCGTTTCCCTACGTAAATCGGCACGCGCTGTCGCCGACTGAGGCGGCGATGGCTTCATATGTCGGGAACATGCCATCCATGATTCATGGATCTGGCGCCCACGCGCTGGATCCACGGATCACTAGTCCGTGCTGGTGCGCGCCCGAAAATGTCGCTCGTGCATCCTCCGAAAAAGCAATGGCTTGAACTGTTGTTGATGAGCTCCCGTCGGTGTCCCGTCAGTGTCCCGTCGGTGTCCCACAGTGAGATCGGTAGTGAGATCGATCGTGAGACCGATAATGATATTGCTAGTGAGATCGATAGTGAGATCGATCGTGTGATCGGTAATGCGATCGATAGTGATATCGATAGTGAGATCGATAGCCAGGGCGCTAGTGCGATCAATAGTGAGATCGATCGTGAAATCGACAGGGAGATCGATACATCAGAGGCATATCGATATGTCTTGCGATATCGATCGTGAGACCGATAGTGAGGTTGATCGTGACTTAGATAGTGAGATCGATCGAGTGATAGTGATAGTGAGATCGATAATGAGACCGATAGTGAGACCGATCGTGAGATCGATAGTGAGATCGATATCGAGATCGGTGAGATCGACTGTGAGATCGATCGTGCGATCGATAGTACGATCGCGATAGTAATTGGGATAGTAAGATCGATAGTGAGATCGATCGAGTGAGACGCTGGTTCCACCCCCCAGAACCTCCTGATCACTCGCAGGGTGGTCGTATTCTGGCGGCGCCTGGGAGCACGAAGCCCGAGGAAGTCTCGAGCGGGAGCCGCGTTGGCGCGCACACCGAGTGGACGTCTCGGGCGTTCCGTCGTCTGCGAATGGGGCCCCCATCCCACGTCGGTAATCCGATGGGGCCATCGGAAAAAACCCGTGGAAGCACGGGTTTGGCGACACCCGGGAGCCGGAACCCCGAGGAGGTCTCGAGCGGCCGCTCGAGAGGTGCGCTCCCAGAGAAGCCGCAGAGAGGAAGCCGCAGAGAGGAAGCCGAGCGGCCGCTCGAGAGTGCGGCAGCGAGGCCCAGCAGGGGGGGGAGCCGCGGGAGGCCAGCCACAGGGAGCCACCCCCAGACATGATCGCGCCGTGAGAAGATCAGGACGGCAAGTCTTTCGCTATCTTCGGCCCCTGGGGGCCCTCGCTGGCCCCCGGGCCCGTCAAAAAAGGACTCAGGATGAAACACCGGCCCCGGGGAGAGGGTCCTGGACCTCCTCTTCCTCCTCCTCCTTCTCCTCCTCCTCCTCCTCCTCCTCCGGGGACGCCGTCCTGAACAAAATCATCACGTCGCATGACTGGGACAGGGAGGCGTGCGGCCACGGGAGGGAAGGTGCGACGGCCAGGGGGCTCAGGATGAAACACTGGCCCCGGGGAAAGGGTCTGGACCTCCGGGGACGCCGTCCTGAACAAAATCAGGACGTCGCATGTCTGGGACACGGAGGCGTGCGGCCACCGGAGGGACGGTGCGACGGCCAGGGGGCGGCCGCAGGAGGGCAGTGGGGTCCTGTGGGGGGAGGCGCAGGGAGCCAGCCGCAGGTCGAAACCGCAGCAAACGGCACACGTAAGCACACAGGTTCGGAGCTCTCCGCGGACTTCTTGGATAGGCGCTGGGCCACCCCCTGCCGTTGTTGTTTCTTCTTCTTCTTCTTCCGACTCCCGCTTCACGTTTCCCCCCCGAGCTGGTCCTCTTCTGATTTTCCCTCTCAGCTGGGGCAGCTACAGGACGCCGTAAGAAGCCGAACGGGCACACGAAAGTGCTACAATCAGGGCCAGCGTTTGGGAAGCACGTGAAGCCGGGCGGCCACCCACAGTGTGGTAGCCATCCCCAGCTCCTCAGTGCAAACCATGTTTGGGGAACAGTGTCCCACTTGCCAAATCATCCAACTGAAGTCGTCCAGAGGATTAATGTGTCCACGGGTGTGTGGCACTGGACCAAACGCTCAGTAGCCTGGGCGCAGCTGGCGCTCTTTCATGCTTACCGTTTTCGCAAGAGGCATTCGATTGCTGGGTGGCTGGGGCTCTGCTGGTCAGCGTGTAGCCCTAGCCTGAGCACACAGGCGGGTTGCACTGGCGGGCACCTGTGGCAGAAGCCATCTCTTGGGGCACCAGTGTCGGCGACGGCTCTCCCATCTCTTGCTGTCGCCCCCCCTCGTCTGCAACCCCATGCTACGGTCAACCCTGAAAGTAAGGATGATCAACTTGCTCCAGATTTCGTAAGAAAAGGGAGGGGGTCTGGACCCTCCAAGACAAGCCATTTCAGACCTCCCCCGTGGGAGAACCGTCCAAAACATCGTCCCCAGACCCCCCAGGCCCTCCAAGATAGCCTGGAAGAGACCCCCCCCGAAATGAGACCCCCCTCCCTTTATTACGAAATCCGGAGTACCAAGGGTACCCTTGCATCCTTGCTTCCTCGGTCATCTTCGGTCCATCCTCAGCCAGCTTCGATGGCCAGCCCCGCTCGAAGAGCCTCGGCATGGGCGTCCAAGGCCTGCGCATCATTGCCGCGCATCCTTACCGCATGGGTTGACTCGGACAGGGCTAGGACGAGGATAAATCCGTTCCAGAACGTTCGGAAACGCTCTCAGAGCGTTCTGGAACGCTCTGAGAAGGCCGCGGCGCCCGATACATGCCCCAGAGCCGCCAGATCTCAGAGATTCACGATTTATATTCACCCGAATGTGTCCTCGTCCTGGCTTCGTCTTACCTCTGGGGGTCGACGTTGTGACTACATCGTGACGTCGGGGGTCTCGGGGGGGGGACCGATGCTCCAGGGCAGCCCGGAAGTTGGGGACGCTTCCGGTGTAACGATAGGGGGATGGGCACAGGGGGGGAAGCATGCATCGCCCCCCAATCGCCCGTGGATCGCCGATGGTGGCCCGATAGCCCCGGCCTGCGGATGAATCTTAAGTCGGGTGTGCCCCTTTAAAGGAGGAAAATTCAGAATAGTTAAAGCATCGTCTGGAGACGTTTTCTGTTTTGTCTTGGTTATGTGTCGTTTGATATGAACATGCTTTGACTCCTAGTTTTTCCGTCCAAGATCCGCCTGTGGGAGAGGACACGCCCGACCTAAGATTAATCCTCACCCGAATTTAGCCTCGTCCTGGCTTCGTCTCGTTGGCTGTGCTCGTAGGCATTCCCGGCCACGCCAGGCCGCCTGCGCCTGGCGACGGCCCCGCCCCGGCTCGGCAGCCTCTGGGAGACGGGAGGAGCGGAGCGGGGAGGAGGCCCTCCTCTCCCCCTCCTCCTCCCTCCTCCTCCTCCTCCCTCCTCCTCCTCCTCCTCTCCTCCTCCTCCTCCTCCTCTTCCTCCTCCTCCTCCTCATCCTCCTCCTCCTCCTGCCTCCTCCCTCCTCCCTCCTCCCTCCTCCCTCCTCCCCTCCTCCTCCTCCTCCTCGCCTCCTCCTCCTCCTCCTCGTCCTCCTCCTCATTCCCCTCCCTCCCTTCTCCTCCGCTTCCTTCCCCTCCTACCCCTCCTCCACCTCCTTCCCTTCCTCCCCCTCCTCGTCCTCCTCCTTCTCCTCCGTCTTTCTTCCTTTTCCTCCTCCCCCTCCTCCCCCCCTCCTCCTCCTCCTCTCCTCCTCCTCCTCCTTCTCCTCCTCCTCCTCCTCCTCCTCCTCCTCCTAGCGGCAACAAGGAATCCTCCTCCTCTCTTCCCCTCCCCACTCCCCTTCTCCGCCCCCCTCCCCCCCCGAGCAGGGAGCGGAGCCGCCTGCCGTCCTCCCCGGCCTCCGGCTCCGAGAGCCCCGCGGGCGGCCTCGCGGCGGCGGCTCCCCCGCGGCCAGGACGCCGAAGAGGAGCCGTACACCATCGCTTGCAGGACCGCCCCGGCGACCTGGGGGGCGGGACGTCTTGGAGTATCTCGGGGGCGGAAAAGGGGGGGGTGATGACTAGGGGGGGGTGGATATCATGGCGGGGGTCATGATATTTCCCCAGATTTCATGGCGCCTCTTCTTATTTCATTACGTCCCTGGCCCCCCCGCTGGGCCGCGCACATGCCGCCGGTCATGATTTGCACCCCCCCCTCTTGGACACCCCCCTCTTGGCCGCTCCCGAGTATCGTCCCGAGGGGGCCTGCTCTGATGTGCAGTTGTAGCCCGGGATGGGAGTGGGAGATGATCGGCATCGAGGTGCCTGCCGAGGTTCAAGTCCGAGCTGCCACAGAGATGGGAGCTTCGGCGGGAGCTCCGGTGCGACGGAGCCCGATGCCTCAGGGAGGTGTCCTTTAGAGAGGTGCCTCGAGGGAGGGATGGGGGTGGTGATGTTGTAGATGGATGACTATGCCGACGACGACGATGACGACGACGATGACGACGACGGCGACGACGACGATGATGAAGATGATGATGCCGATGATGCTGCTGCTGATTATATATATATATATGTATATATATGTATTACCCCGCAATTGCGGATAAGAGTGAGGGGGCGGGCGCGGGCGACGCGGGCGTCGTCGAGCCGGCAGACCTTGTGGCCCCCATTTTCCTTGTCGATGGCGCTCTCCTCCTCCTCCTCCTCCTCCTCCTCCTCCTCCTCCTCTTTTTCCTCCTCCTCCTCCTCTTCCTCGTCCTCGTCCTCGTCGTCATCGTCATCGTCATCCTCCTCCACCTCGTCATCCTCCTCTTCTTCCTCGTCCTCCCTCTTCCCCCCTCGTCTTTCCATCACCGTCCTCCCATTGTCGTCCACCCCCTCATCGGCCTCCATCATCGTCCTCCCACTGTCGTCCATCATCATCCTCCTCCCCCTCCTCCCCCTCCCGCTCCCCTCCTCCTCCCCCTCCTCCCCCTCCTCGCCCTCCTCGCCCTCCTCCTTCTCCTCCTCCTCGTCCTCCTCTTTCTCCACATTCTCTTTACATCCTCTCTTCTTTCGCGTCCTCCTCGTCCCCTGTTTATTCCTCCTGCCTCCCCCTCCTTTCCCAAGACAGCGGCAACGCAATCCTTTTTTCCATTGCTCCCCGACTTCTCTGATCAAGGCAACTCGCCAGGGCAAACTTGTTGGACGGGCTGGTGTGGATGCGCGGGGCTTGAAAAGGTCGTTGCGGGCTCAGACGCCATGCAAAAATCCGCCGCCGCGCTTGTGCGGCATTGGTTTGTTCAGTGAACGTGGTTTGGGTCGCGGGTGGGTCGCGGTCTTTCTACCTCCACCTGGAAGGAATGCAAAAGCAGCCCGCCGCAGGCGCCGAAACAATTGGTTTGTACCCTGAGCGTGGAATGGGTCGCGGGTGGGCCGCGGGTTCTCCACCAGGAACGAATGCAAAAGATGCCCGCCGCAGGCGCCGAAAAATGTGGTTTGTACCTTGAACGTGGTTTGGGTCGCGGGTTGGTCGCGAGTTGGTCGCGGGGTGGGTCGCGGGCTCTCCACCTGGAAGAATGCAAAAAAAGCTCGCCGCAGGCGCTGAAAATAGTGGTTTGTACCTTGAACGTGGTTTGGGTCGCGGGTGGGTCGCGGGTGGGTCGCGGGGTGGGTCGCGGGTGGGTCGCGGGTGGGTCGCGGGTGTGTCGCGGGTGGGTCGCGGTTGGGTCGCGGGGTGGGCCGCGGGCGGGTCGCGGGGTGGGTCGCGGGTGGGTCGCGGGTGGGTCGCGGGTGGGTCGCTTGTTGGGTCGTGGGGTGGGTCGCGGGGTGGGTCGCGGGTGGGTCGCGGGTGGGCCGCGGGTGGGTCGCGGGGTGGGTCGCGGGGTGGGTCGCGGGGTGGGTCGCGGGTGGGTCGCGGGGCGGGTTGCGGGTGGGACGACGACAACAAACAGCACCAACAAACAACAACAAACGACAACAAACAAAAACAAACAACAACAAACAACAACGACGATAATCCGGACCGCGGAATCCCACTTCAGCCACGCACCCAGGGACAGTGAATGACCGTTCGGCCCCGTCGTTCTGATGATTGTGGTGATGATGATGATGATGATGCAACTGTTTTTGCTGATGATGATGCCGGTGGTGGTAGTGCTGGAAAATCATATGATGAAGACGGCGATAGTGCTGGCGATGACAACGATGATGATGACGATGGCGATGATGATGACTATGCTGATAATAGTGCTGGCGATGCTAAGCATGATGCTGCTGATGATAAGGTTGACTATACTGATGATGTTGATGCGGCTGATGTTGCTGACGATGATGCTGGTGATGCTGCTGCTGATGATGATGGCGATATTGGTGATACTACTGCTGCTGCTGTTGTTGATGATGATGCTGTTGACGATGGTGCTGCTGATGATGAGGAGGAGGACGCCGACGATTATGGTGCTGCTGCTGATGGTGCTGTGGATGATGCTGATATTGACAATGCTTATGACACTGATGATGATGATAAAATTGTGGTGGGGATGCTGATGAGGAGGAGGAAGAGGAGAGGGGTGGCGATGATGATGATGACGATGGGTAGTTCGTGTCCAGCAGGCCGGAAATGTGTATAAGAAAATGTGTTTGTATATGAAAAATGATATCTATGTATATGTATATGTATATGTATATGTAGATGTTGATGTAGATGTATTTGTATTTGTATATGTACATGTACATGTACATGTACATGTACATGTACATGTGTATAGGTATATGTATATGTATACGTATGTGTATATGCACATGTATATGTATACGTATACGTATATGTATATGTATATCAATATCTATATGCATATGTATATGTTTATGCATATGTATATGTATATGTTTATGTATGTGCATATGTATATGTATATGTGTATATATATATATATAAATGTACATGTGCATGTACATGTACATGTCGAGGTATATGTAGATGTAGATGTATATGTATATGTAGATGTAGATGCAGATGCATATGTGTATGTGTATGTATAGGTATATGTATGTATGCATGCATGCATGTATGTATTTATGTATGTACGTATGTGTTTATATATATATATGTAGATATTCCCCCAGAAAGCCTGGGTAGGAAGAGTTTCGTGGTTTCGTTGATGTGGATGTACATGTGGATGTGCAGGTAGCGTGGGTGTGCAGGTAACAGGGCGCTGCCCCCCCTCGCCGCCGGTCTCTGCTTTCGCTGAACCGGTACGACTGGATAGAACTGGTCATAGAACTGGTCATAGAATTGGTCCATTTAAAATTTGGGCCGGCACAGATCGGGGGCGGAAAAGAGGGGGGTGATGACTAGTGGGGGGGTGTATATCATGGCGTGGGCCATGATGTTTCCCCAGATCTCATGGCGCTTCTTCTGTCATTACGTCCCTGGCTCCCTCGCTGGGCCGCGCACGTGCCGCCAGTCGTGATTTGCACCCCCCCTCTTGGACACCCCCCTCTTGGCCGCTCCCGAACAGAACTGGTCGAACATCTAAAGAGGAAGACTTTAAACACTTAAAGTTTTTATATGACCAGTTCTATCCATTTGTACCAGTTCCGTGCAAGCAAAGGCCTGCGGCCGTGGGGGGCAGCGCCCTGTTATTTGCACACCCACATGTACATCCACATCAACGAAAACACGAAACGCTTCCTACCCAGACGTGTTTCAAAGACCGGTTCATCATCTTCATCATCATCATCATCATCATCATCATCATCATCATCATCATCATCATCATCATTATCATCATCATCATCATCATCATCATTATCATTATCATCATCATCATCATTATCATAATCATCATGATCAGCATCAACGGCTTCCGAACACCAGTACCATCGCCAACATTTTCATCACCAGCATCACCAACAACACCAGCGCCACCACCATTGTCAGTTTAGGGAGCTTGTCTTGTGAACTACGTCATCCTGACTTCTGGCGCCCTTCCCACTCTTGCCTGATACCCCTCAGTCCACTCCGCTTCATTCGACTCTCCTCCACTCCTCCACCCTCCTCCAGAGACCGACGCTATCATCCGGAAGCTCCTGCGCTCTTCAGACCTCCTCCGAACTCTTCCCCTCCTCGGGGCCTCACGTGTAACGCACTCAGTTTAGGTAGCGCTCAAATATCATAACAATATGAATTGGTCTTCATCTGGGTAAGGAGAGTTTCGTGATTTCGTTGATGTGGATGTACATGTGGATGTGCAGGTAACGTGGGTGTGCAGGTAACAGGGCGCTGCCCCCCCCGCCGCAGGCCTCTGCGTTCGCGGAACTGGTACAACTGCACAGAATTGGTCACAGAACTGGTTCATTAAACAAGTGGTCCGGCATAGAACTGTGCGAAATTCTAAAGAGAAATAATTTGAAACATTAGAACTCTCTCATTTGAAACGACCATTTCTATGCCGGACCATGGTTTTTAGCGGACCAGTTCTATGACCTGTTCTATGATCAGTTCCATACAGTTGTACCAGTTCCGCGCAAATTCAGGCCTGCGGCGGGCAGGGGGCGCTTTGTTACTTGCACACCCATGCTACTTGTACACCCACATGTACATCCACATCAACGAAAACACGAAGCTCTTCCTACTCAGACGTGTTTCAAGGACCGGTTTATCATAATCATCATCATGATCAGCATCAACGGCTTCGAACACCAACACCATCGCCAACATTCTCATCACCAGCATCAACACCAACAGCACCATTGCCGCCACTATTGTCAGTTTGGGGAGTTTGTCTTGTGAACTTCTGTCATCTGGACTCCCACTCCTTGCCAGGTACCCCTCACTCCACTCCGCTCCATTCGACTCTACTCCACTCCTCCGCCCTCCTCCAGAGACCGACGCTATCATCCGGAAGCTTCTGCGCTCTTCATATCTCCTCCCCACTTTTCCCCTCCTCGGGGCCTCACGTGAACGCACTCAGTTTATGTAGCGTTCAAATATCATAACAATATGAACCGGTCTTTGAAACACGGTGGGTGGATAATAGTGTCCACACCCCACACCCAACGCGCCAATATAATACGACATCGAACTGCGTCGAACAAATATCCATCGCCCCCGCCCACCTCACCCAAAGTTGACGGGGGTAGGTGCGAGGCAACGCGCGGGGGACAAAATATGGCCACTTCAACTTTGCGTTGAGGGGTGAGGGGGGCGAGCCACGTGAATATTGCAAGCGCTGTTGCCATCATGCCTGATTGTCTTCGCGCCGTCGGTGTGGGCACTTTTGTCCGGGCACCGTCAGTGTAAGCAGAGTGTCGTGGTTTCGTTAATGTGGATGTACATATAGATGTGCAGGTAATATGGGTGTGCAGGTAACAGGGCGCTGCCCCACCCCCCGCCGCACGTCTCTGCTTTCGCGGAACTGGTACAACTGGATAGAACTGGTCATAGAACTGGTCATAGAACTGGTCCCAAAAATATGGTCCGACATAGAATTGGTCGAGATTCTATAAAGAAAGAACTTTTGAACATTCGAATTCTTTATGTGAAATGACCAGTCCTATGCCGGACCGGTTTTTTTAATGGACCAGTTCTATGACCTGTTCTATGACCGGTTCTATCCAGTTGTACGAGTTCCGCGCAATCAGAGACGTGCGGCGGGGGGGCAGCGCCCTGTTACCTGCACGCCCATGTCACTTGCACACCCACATGTACATCCACATGAACGAAACCACAGAACTCTTCCTACTCAGACGTGTTTCAAAGACCGGTTCATCGTCATCATGATCAGCATCAACGACTTCCGAACACCAGCGCCATCGCCAACACTTTCATCACCAGCATCAACACCAACAGCACCATCGCCACCACCATTGTCAGTTTGGGGAGTTTGTTTTGTGAACTCACGTCATCCTGATCCCTTGTGCCCCTTCCCACTCCTGCCATGTACCCCTCACTCCACTCCACTCCACTCCACTCCATGCGACTCTACTCCACTCCTCCGCCCTCCTCCAGTGACCGACGCTATCATCCGGAGGCTCTTGCGCTCTTCAGATCTCCTCCCCACTCTTCTCCTCCTCGGGGCCTCACGTGAAAAGCATTCATTTTACGTAGCGATCAAATATCATAACAATATGAACTGGTCTCTCAAACACGTCTGGGTAAGAAGAGTGTCGTGGTTTCGTTGATGTGGATGTACATGTGGATGTGCAGGTAACGTGGGCGTGCAGGTGACAGGGCGCTGCCCCCCCCGCCGCAGGCCTCTGCTTTCGCGGAGTTGGTTCGGCTGGAAAGAACTGGTCATAGAATTGGTCCATTAAACATACGGTCTGGCATATAATTGGTCGTTTCAAATGAAAGAGTTTTAAGTGCTTAACTTTGTTCTCTTTGGAATTTCTACCTGTTCTATGCCGGACCATATGTTTCATTGACAACTTCTATGACCAGTTCTATCCAGTTGTACCAGTCCCGCGAAAGCAGAGACCTGCGGCGGGGGGGGGGGCAGCGCCCTGTTATCTGCACACCCACGTTACCTGCACATCCACATGTACATCCACATCAACGAAACCACGAAGCTCTTCTTATCCCGACGTCTTTCAAAGACTGGTTCATATTGTTATGATATTTGAGTGCTACTTAAACTGAGTGCGTTTCACTTGAGGCCCCGAGGAGGGGAAGAGTGGGTAGGAGGTCTGAGGAGCGCAGGAGCTTCGGGATGACAGCGTCGGTCTCTGGAGGAGGGCGGAGGAATGGAGTAGAGTCGAATGGAGTGGAGTGGAGTGAGGGGTATCTGGCAGGAGTGGGAAGGGGCGCCAAAGGGGGCCTCGTGGGGTATCTTTGGCATCTTGGAGGCCTCTTGCGCGTGGTTTGGGCGGCTCTTCGGCGGGCCTCGTGTGGCCTCTTGGCGGCCTGTTGGGGTCTCCTGGGGACTTCTCGGGGCAAACATATAGAATGTTCGGTTCGTGGTTCCCTGCTTGGGCCCCTCTTAGGACTGTCTTGGAGCCCTCTTGGGCTCGCTTGAGCTCTTCTTGGACAGCATTGGAGCCCTCTTGGGCCGTCATGGCGCCCTCTTAGAGCCTCTTGGGCTGTCTTGGGGCGGTCTTGGGAGGCTTGAGCCGTAGTAGAGCTTCGGACAGCCAAAATTGCGAGAAGGCCAACATCTGTCAACAACTTTCGTAACATCGGCGATGTTGGCCTTTTTGGGGCTCTCTCGGGAGGCTTCGTGGAGTGCTCTTGGGGCCTCTTGGGGCCCTCCTGGACCGTTTTGGAACCATGGGCGCCTCGGAGCACTCTTGGCCTCGGCAATGCGAATATGGCATATTTTGCAAGTGTTTATGGCCTCAGGGACTCGAATACTGCGTACTGAACGAAGGCTTGTTGCCTCGGGGGCACAAGAATTTGTAATTTGCGAGGATGGTCTCGCGGACGCGAATCTCGTATAACTTACTATGGATTATGGCCTCGGGGGCGCGAACCGCACGTATGTTTATGTGTCCCACGCCCCTCTGGGCTTCGATCCAGGCGTGGTAAAAAAGCTGGCTCGGAGTTCCCCCCATCTCGCGCGGACTTCACCAATTTACAGTAGGAAGCAGACAGCAGGACTGTAACATTGGAGACTCGAAACTACAGCTGGTGCAGGGTGCATCAAGCCTAATCCTCGCAGCCTGATGTCCCCGCAAGGGGGCCAGCGGATATATGTATGTATGCAGGTATATATACAAACATAATATCGCGCACACACACACATATATATATATATATATATACATGTATATATATATATATATGGACCGATCAGCATAAGACATACATTTTGGTGGCTAATTATCTGCGGGGGGGATGAGGATGCACGCTTTCGTTGTTTTCCTCTTTACCCCCCTCTCTTCCTCTTCCTTGTCTCCCTGGGTGCAGAGATGGAGCGAAGCCCATTGTCGATATCCTCCTCCTCCTCCTTTTCCTCCCCCGTCCTTTATGTCTCCTTCCTTTCCCTCCCCCCTCCCCCCCCGTCCCCCCACTCCCCTCCCTCCCTCCCTCCCTCCCCATTCCTCCCCTGCATGCCCCCCCTCCCTCCTCCCTCCTCTTCCAATGCTTCCTTAAGTGTCCCCTTCTCATGTCGCACCGCCAGACGTTTCCTCAGGCCAAGCCGGGCGTCCTGGTTGAGATTTCTTCTCGGCCTGCTATCCCGAAGCTTCGAGTTTCTGACAGGAGGAGGAGGAGGAGGAGGAGGAGGAGGAGGAGGAGGAGGAGGAGGGGGAGGAGGAGGAGGAGGAGGAGGAGGAGGAGGGGGCTCTTTCCAAGATGTGGTTCTCGCCCGCATCGTCTTACAAGCGTGCATCAACTGCGAGGATGGAGGCCGTGCGTTTTCAACATGCTTCTCTCGCCTGTTGCGCCACTCGCAGTCGTTTCAAAAGCTTGCGGCAGCTTTAAGGATGGAGGCTGGGCCCTCTTCAAAGTGCATCTCTCGCCGCAGCAACGCGCACATTCGTTTTTTCCCCAACGCGTCCTGTGATGGTTCTCGTCTTGGTTAGAGCGCTGCGGTCTCCACTTCCTCCTCTCTTCTCTCCTGCCTCCCACTTCCTGCCTGTCCCTCGGCCATGTCTTCGTGCCAGGGAGACACGACATGCGCCCTCCTCCTCGTCCTCGTCGTGTTCGTCGGCCTCCGACTTCCTCGCCCTCGGCCTACTCGTGCTCGCGCGCATGCTCCCATCATTGCTTCTACCCCTGCCGCTCTGTTTTTCGGGCCCCTCGACACGGTGCGGTGACTAGATCGTGTGGCGAGTCAGTTGGGGTTCTGGGTGACCGCAAGGTCTTGGGGCTTGGGTCGTTCTCCGAGGATGCCCCAGGCGATCGGGGCCTTCAGGGTCTGAGCACCGTGCGCCGTGCGGTGTGGCCTTCTGGGACTCCGCGGCCACCGCACGGCATGTCACCCCGCACCGCTCCATGGGGCCCCAACCCATTGCAGGTCCGCGCCGTGTCGACCGCCGGCGACCCCGCCGCGGGCGTGCAACGCTGGAACGCCGCCGGCAACCCAGAATCGGTCGATGTTGAACGATCTTCAGGAGGGGAAAAAACACACAGACTCAATTAATCCTCGATTCCCCAGAAAATCTGGGAAAATATGGGAAGTGGGGGGAAGACAGAAACCCCAAAAATATGGGAAAATATGGGGAATCCTTTTATTTGTGTGTATTTATTTGTGTGTCCTTGGGCCCCTTCAAACGCGGAACGCCGCCGGCAATCCAGAATCGGCCGATGTGGAACGATCTGGCGTTTCGGAGACGGCCGATCGTCAAAGGTTGGAAGATCCCTCGGTGTCAAAAGCCAGCGCCGAGGTCGGCACGACGTGGACCTGCCGTGGAGTGGAGGCCCAGGCCAAGAGACACCCTGCTTGCCTCCAGGGTGGGTTTCGACGGCTTTGCTGTGGAAGGCGTGACGTTCCCTCGCCAGAATTCCACGGATGTCCTGGGGCCTCAGGGTTGGGTTTCTTGTGGAAGGTTTCTTGTGGACTGGCTTCCGCTGTATTCAGCCACGCGCAGAGGGGGGTGGGGGGAGGGGGGAGGACTTCTCAGAAGCACCCCTGCTTCTCAGAAGGCGCGGACCTTACCTATAGGTGTAAGGCTGGCGCCTTCTAAGGAGCAGCCTCCTTCTAAGAAGCCCTCCCCCCTCCCTCCAGCTCCTTGTGCGCGCCGCCAATGTATGCATTCCCCCCGCCCGCGGGCCCCACCGCCCCCTTTGCGAGAGGTTGCCTCCGGAGCTGAAGCACACGCTGTGCTCGACGCTGACCTGGAGGATCGGTATCGTTTAACCAATCCCCGTCCCCATCCTCATCCCCTTCGAGACCCCCGCCAAATTGCCCCCCCAGTTGGGGATACATCCCTCGAAACCCGAGGGGAACGGCCTATATCCCCATCTAGGGGGGTAAATCGGCCAGTGGGGCCCATGCCACGCCGCTGGGGATGGGGATCGGTTAAACGTTACTCAGAGGAAAGAGCTCGCGGGCAAGCTCCTGCCCGAGGCGCCTGGCCGTGGGGCGGAAGACAGGTCTCAAATCGAGCGTGTCCCTCCGTAGGAGGAATCTTCGAGCATAGCCAACCAAACAAGTCTGAGGACGATGTGTCGACTATGTCTTGAGTATGTTTGAGCATGTGTTGACATGTGTTTTATGTTTCGTCCCAAACCCGCTTGTTGGAGGGCATGCAGGAGGACACGCCCTACCTAACGCAGACGCGTCCAGGCCCGCGGCCTTGCGGGGCCCGGCGGATGCAGGGCGCTTTGTTCGCGGATGCCCCCCCCGCGCGGAGCGCCTCCGTGCGACCGCAGACAGTGGAGACACGCGCCACCCTGCCCGCCTCCAGGGTGCCATGGGTTTCTTGGGTTTCGATGGTTTTGCCATGGAAGGCGCGGCGTTCCTTCGGCGAGGACCATCGAGCGATGGCGAGTTCCAGAATGCCTTCCAGAAAGGGTCTCGCCGCTTACAGTGGAGACCCATGCCAAGAAACACCCTGCCTGCCTCCAGGGTGCCCTGGGTTTCTTGGGTTTCGATGGTCTTGCCATGGAAGGCGCGGCGTCCCCCCACCAAAAGTCCTTGGACGTCCTGGGGTCTCGGGGTTGGGTTTCCTGTGGAAGGTTTCCTGTGGACTGGCCTCCACTGTACATCCGCGGGAGCGAGCCCCGGAATCCAGACCGCGAGGGCGCGGATACGGACACGCTCGCCGCCCGTGACTCGGCCCAGAGAGGTGGCAGGTGCGCGTGAACGTTCACCGCGGCGGGCGCCAAACTTTGAACCTGGCCAGTTCGGGTCAACTGAGCGACGGAAGAATCGTCGATGATAAAATAACCCCCAACCCTGATAACTTGATGAAGGTGTGGCCTCACTCAGGTCCCCGTCTTCGGACTCGGGATACCAGATCTGGGCGGGCTGGTCGGATACGTCTGCAGAGGAGGCCCCTTATTCCCCAACGTTTCTGGCCCTGACTTAGGTCCCCTCCCGGAGGACCAGGGGTCCTTTTACATAGGTCCCCTCCCAGAGGGCCAGGGGTCAATTTATTGCTTAGCATCCAGGGCCCAGGATCGGCCCAGCCAGGATCGGTGAGGTGGTCGGCCGGCATCCGCCAGAGCACTCGCCTGGAACCGGCCGGCGTCGACCGATCCGCGAGATGGGATCGCCGCGATCCCTCACGCTTGAACGATTCGCGCGGTGTCGGGTGTACCAATGTCGGCTTCCGCCTCCTCCTCCTCCTCCTCCTCCTCCTCCTCTGCCTCCTCCTCTTCATCCTCCTCTTCCGCCTCCGCCTCCGCCTCTTCCGCCTCTGCCTCCGCCTCTTCCACCTCCGCCTCCGCCTCCGCCTCCGCCTCCGCCTCCTCCTCCTCCTCCTCCTCCTCCTCCTCCTCCTCCTCCTCCTCCTCCTCCTCCTCCTCCTCCTCCCCCCGTAGGGGTGCGCAGAACTGGGGCGGCGGGGTGCTGAGCGGCAGCCGCGCGGCGGGAGTGCGGACATGGCCCTGGCACTCGAGCGAGGGATCAGGCGGTGCGACCTGCCCGGAGCTGCACCGGATGCCCAGGTCACCTCCGAGGGGCGCGAAGGTGCTCGCCGTGCTCGCACCGCAGCGTGGGCCGGAGAGGCGTCCCCTTCTCCAGGGCGGCGGCGCGAGGGCGCGAGGAGAAGCGCACGCGGCGCGTTATTTGGGGCGCGGTGCGCGGGGCTGGGTGGCCTGGGATGCCGTCTAGGCCTTTGCCTATTCGGCAGTGTCCTCTAGAAGCTGGCTGCAGCAAGGGAGCCTTGCCTGCCCGTCGAGAGCGGGATCCGGGCGGAGGGATCAGGAGGCGACTGCGCACGGTCCCGCCCTCGGTCCCGCCCAGGGGGTCTCGCGCCCACCTCCTCGGGTGGTCGGATCTGACCGCACGCCGATCGTTCAAAGAAGGTCTGTTGGACTCCCAGATCCCAACCTTTTTCGAGCGCCTTCTTCAAGAGTCGAGTGGCTTTCCCTCCTCCCTCCCCGGGGGGCGGGCGGAAGCCCAATCTATTTGCATCGCCTTCCTACTTGACGGTTCTGCCCACTTCTTCCGACCGACAGCGAGCTCCAGGGATCCGCAGTGCGCCGAGCTCAGGACGCTGCAGCCTTCAACCCCAGGGCGGTCTCGCCCTGCCTCGGGCCCCAGGGCTTCATCACAGGTCGGTCCGGCTCGAGAATGCGGCAGAGCGGGTTGTGGTCAATTCGCCATCGAAGGTCAACGCATCAGAGGTGGCCTCGCCTTCATCGAGGCGCAGCTGTACGTCCCTCTCGTGCCGCTGCTCTACTTCGTCTGGGTGCGCGTGCTGGTCGTCCTCGGCTCGTTGGACCTCCCATGTCGAGATTCAGAGGTGGAGCGTGAGTTCAAACAAAAAGAATGGGCCTAGGGTTCTGGTTGCGTTGTTTCGCGATGTTGCGTTATTCTGCCCGCAGTGCTGGATCGTAGGGAAGTGAAGGCCACGCTGGGCTCATGATGGGTTCTGGTTTTCGAGCCGTTCCTGAGGTCTCGTTGGGTGAGGGGAAACGATTCGCGTCCGAGGCTCGCCGTGGCCAGAACAGCCGATTCGTAAGCTCTTTCCGGCGTTCTTATATGGTAGCACGATGACTGCAGGGCCCCGCCTGCAGTTTTTGGCGGTTGCCCTGAGTGTGGAGGTGTGGCCGTGCTTCCACAGAGTTGTGCGCGTAGTTTCTGGTTCATGGGGCGTCGGAATGCACATGCTTTCTGGTGTGTGTGCAGCACGCGCGTTGCGCGCGTGGTCTGGCCAGGGCAGGCCAGCAAAATGGTTGAGGCCGACGACGGCAAGCACGAGGGACAGGAAGATGGGGGAAAAACGATGGCCATGACCCAGATGTCGCGGGATCCGGTCGATGCCGATCTTGGTCGCGGTCCATGCTGGCCGTTGCATACTCGCGAGGATGATCTTCGAGTTGGCGGTGACCAAGATGGACGGTGACCCAGATCGACATCGGCGTCCCCGTGCCCAATTTTGATCATTTCGTTTCCCTCCACTATGTGTCTGCGTTCGACCCACCATGTGTTCGTGGCCGCTTGGTTTCCCGACTTCCACCTGCTCGGAACACCCGCCCGTGACCTCGATAAGGCGGCGTCTTCTGTCTGGTCGGGCTTCGCCCTGGCTGCTCACAATCCGATCCGATCCGATTCGATCCCCAGACGTCCGATACCGACTTCGATCCGGTCCGATTTTCCAGCCCGCAGGGGCCGAA